GTATTTGTATAAACATACCTCAAAAACAAGCTCTACAACAAAACATCACTTTTACAGAGTAGAACAAAATTTGAAGTCATACCAGGCCAGGCATGGAAATACAAATCCCTCCATAATCCCATTAGCCAATCAGTGCGAACTGAGTGAAAAAAGTTGCACTGATTCTGCAAATTGAAATCGCTATAATATTTAAAATGCTCCACTGTAAAAATGCTTTCATCTTGGCACCATCTATAATTTTTTTTAGAACTAAAATATAATTTGATTTGATTTTGGATATCCTCGTTAACATTATTTAATATATTCGAAAAAATATAAGAATTAAAATCTTTACCCTATCTAAGGTTTCGTCCGGAGTTTTGTGTACCGCAGAAGCTGTAGACGATGGAACTGGTCCGTCTTGATGTTCTAATGTCGTCTCTTTTGAGGTTTTCTCGCCATTCACATTGTTGGCAACTGCTCCGGTCTGCTCGGGCTGCACTGACTGACCTACAAAAGGAATTGAAGGGCAGAAAATTGGGTTGGTAACAGACTGATATGTTAGTGAACTAGTAAAATAATGATTTTTAGTACCTATTTAATTCGCGAGTGTCCTATTCATTTGGCTTGTCTGGAATACCCACATGCATCATTTGATTTGCATGTCTCTTGCAAGTTGTTCCTGATGGATAATGACAGATATACGCTGTTTTTCCAACTTTCTACCAACTTTCTTGTCCACCCAGGGGTGCGTTCAAGGACGGCAATGCTAAAGCCAAAACCTACTTTTCCCCCTCCACCGGTAATGCCGAACTACGTAGGTTGAAGCCGAACTTGAACGCAAAATGCCAATTTTGGCTTGGCTGTAGCCATTCCTGAACGCAGCCCAGGCCTTCTCCCGACTTCTTTCCTAGTTCGTAACTTCTTGTCATCACTTCCTCCCTCGTTTTGAATCGTCTGCGTACTTTGTTTGTTTCTTCACTTCTATCTACTTTTTCTTCTTTTGAGAGAGTCAACCTTGTTCTTAAAGGTCTAGTTGGGGAGCTGGCGTCAAAAACATGCAAGAGTTTTCGCAAGGCGGATATTTTCAAAATAGGTCGTACTTTAGTGCTAGAATGCTAGTGTACAGTCAGCACTCACAGTTCCGGGACAGCTAGCTCTGGGACGCGGGCAAAGTTGTAATTTTAAGAAGCATCTAAACTGTTTTCTCAAAGCTCAAAATTTATAGAAATTTTGCACATTATCTGTTTGAAGGTCACAGATAACGTATGTAAATCGTCAGACGTCTAGTTCGTTGCAAAAAGGGGGTCAGACGTCCTCTAAGTTTTTATTTTATGGCATTTTCTTCAAATATATTTGTCAAATACCTGCAAAAATATATTTTGACAGGACACCGAAGAAAATGCCATAAAATAAAAACTTTGAGGACGTCTGACCCCCTTTTTGCAACGAACTAGACGTCTGACGATTTACATACGTTATCTGTGACCTTCAAACAGATAATGTGCAAAATTTCTATAAATTTTGAGCTTTGAGAAAACAGTTTAGATGCTTCTTAAAATTACAACTTTGCCCGCGTCCCAGAGCTAGCTGTCCCGGAACTGTGAGTGCCTGATAACTTTATGAAGTCATCTGAGGTGCCTCAACATAATGCAGATAAGATAATTCCCCAAGTCAAAAAGTTAGTAACTATGTTAGCAACACAAGCCTTTTCTACATAAAAAATTTGAAAGCATTGACAATTTTACATTGTATTGCCAACATAATGTCATTTTGACTTTTATCTTTAAAAAAAACACACTTTACAGTCGTGAGCATAAAAAGTGGGACACGCGACTGACAGGTTTTGTCATTTTTCACTATTTTGGGTAAATCAGTCTTTTCTCTACAATGAGTTGTATTCCTTTCAAGAGTTTGAAACACTCGAGCTACTCGCTCCGGTGTTTAGTAGCCCCCGATTTGCAGGGAACAGATGCGTGATGCAACAAACACTTTTCGAAAGGAATAAGGGCGTGAAGCCCCGGAGCTGTTCCAGAGCTCCTCCTAGATGTGAAAGGAATACAACTATCGGATTTTTTTGTCAAATATGACAATCCCTGTCATTGCCATAAGTATAGCTGATGAGCTCGTTTTACAATAGGAAAAAACGAGTGTCCCACTTTTTATGTTCACGACTGTACATGTCAAACTTTTCATCAGATTTTGAAGTGAAACTTCTTAGGCGGCGGTCTGATATTCAGAGGAGAATATGGAGAGTGATTTGAAAGACGAAAGGCGCATCACGTAACGTCAAGTTTTGGCAAATTTCGTTACAGGAGAGATGAGAGAGAAGGAAGCTATAACGTAGAGAGACGGAGAAAGACATCAACCAATGACAATGACAGCCGACGAACAATTCACACTAACGAAGGATTATAAGTGAAGAGGTATGCCTATTATTGTCAAGCGCCGATACCCTTGTAACGTCACTATAGATGCGCGGGCTCTTCGTCTTCACCCCGACTCATACGCTGTCTCAAAGCTGTATGAGGGAGGGTATAGTTTTTGAAAAGTTTCACTTCTTAATACGTGTACGATGCTACACTTGATTTTTTTGAACTGAAACTTCTTAGGCGGCGGTCTGATTTGGAGGAGAATGGAGAGTGATTTGAAAGAAGCGTCACGTTACACGAGACGACACTTTTTGGCAAATTTTGTTACACGAGAGACGAGAGAGAAGATCGCGAAAGATATAACGTAGAGAAACGGAGAAAGACATTAACCGATAACCATGAAAGCCGACGAACAATTCACACGGAACGAAGGATTATAAGCTAAGAGGATTGCCTATTGTCAAGCGGCAAGCGCCGATACCCTTGTGACGTCACTACAGATGCGCGTTTGTCCATTGTGTAGCCTTTCGTCTTTATACCCTGACTCATGCGCTAAGTCTAAAAGTTGTATGAGGGACAAATTCATGAAGGAGGGAATAGTTTTTAACACGCTTATATTAGCTTCACCTGTATGTTTGTATGTTTGTAAGTAACATTGAAAATGTTTATCGCACGGGCACATAGGAATGCGTGCGAACTTTTGGCCTCTTGGGAAGTGTATGAACAAGAATCTGGAACAAGCCAAGTGAGCTGGAACAAGTCTGGATAAATCTGGATAAAGCCTGGAAAAGTCTGGAAAATGCCTGGAAATTTCTGGAAACGGTCGGAAAAATTCTGCCAAAGGTCCCAAAAGACCTGGGGATCATTTTCCAGAATCCGGATCAGTCTGTACAAGTATGGATAAGGTCTGGATAAATCTGGATAGAGTCTGTAAAACTCTGGATAAGTCTGGATATTGTCTGTAAAAGTCTGGAAATCTCTGGAAACGTCTGGAAAAGACTTGGAAATTTCTGGAAAGGATCGGAAAAGTTCTGGAAAAGGTCCCAATTGACCTGGGGTTCATTTTCTAGAATCCGGATCAGTCTGAAAAAGTTTGGATAAAGTCTGGATAAATCTGGATGAAGTCTGGAAAACTCTGGAAAGCTCTGGATAAGTCTGGATAATGTCTGGAGAAGTTTGGAAACTTCTGGAAAAATCTGGAAACGTCTGGAAAAGGCCTGGAAACTTCTTGAAAGAGTCGGAAAAATTCTGGAAAAGGTCCCAAAAGACCTGGGGATCAGTTTCTAGAATTCGGAGCAGTCTGTACAAGTCTGGATAAGGGCTGGATAAATCTGGATGAAGTCTGTAAAACTCTGGATAAGTCTGGATATTGTCTGGAAAAGTCTGGAAATCTCTGGAAACATCTGAAAAAGACCTGGAAACTTCTTGAAAGAGTCGGAAAAATTCTGGAAAAGGTCCCAAAAAACCTAAGGATCATTTTACAGAATCCGGATCAGTCTGTACAAGTCTGGATAATTCTGGATGAAATCTGGAAAACTCTGGAAAGCTCTGAATAAGTCTGGATAATGTCTGCAAAAGTCTGGAAATCTCTGGGGCGAATTTAGGAATGACACACTCAGTGTGGGGATTCTAATTGCTCGAAGCCGAAGGATGCGACTCAGAAATAACGTTTTTGTTGCCTATACGAGACGCTCAACTCGTGTCGACTAGTGAAATTGTAATCCGGCTGCAGGTGTCGCACCGGTCCTACCATAATTTTTTGATTGCGTCTTTATGTCAACAATGTCAACCATTCCTCCCATAATTTCAATAATCCCACAAAATATAAAAAAAACACAAATAAGAATTAAAGTTTTTTCTTCAAAATAAAAAAATGAACAACAAAATAATACATCGAACTAAAAAGTGAAAAATAAATAAACACGCTTTTATAGTAAATTGAACTAAAAAGTGAAAAATAATTTTTAATATAAACAGAAAATATTTATGAACAAAAAATATTAGAATTATTGTGAAAAAAGCGTGGGATGTACGAGAAATGTGGAACAAAGCACCCCACGCTTTTTTCACAATAGTTCTAATTTTTTTGTTCATTACTATTTTCTGTTTATATTAAAAATTATTTTTCACTTTTTAATTCAATTTACAATAAAAGCGTGTTTTTTAGTTTTTTTAAACTATATTTATTAAGAAGTTCCACTTCTTAACACGTGTACGACGTATGATGCTACATATGATTTTTTTATGTTTCAATAAAGTTGGGAAAATTAGGAATGTCACCCCCCCCCTCCCCAAACCAGTGGCCTTCGCTACGTCCCTGGTACTTGCAATTTAGGGCCGATACTTTTGCTCACGATTAACGAATTTGATACGTTGTTAAAGTTTTGCATGGGCCAACTTCTATAAGTATGATGTGGTTATAGCACATGCTAACCCCTGATTATTTTTAACGGCTGTCAAATCAGAGCAAAAGTACCGGCACTTATAGTCTATTCAGTATGGCGGTCCGTAGCAGAAGAACGTTCTGGGAAATAGAGCGAGCTCATTGCCTCTTGGCTGCGCGCATGTCATACCTGAATTGAATATAATTAATAAATTGTATTGTTGGTTGTGTTACCGCAGTTCTCACAAATGAATTGTTTGTTTTAGGTATTCTTGCAGAAGCTAAAGAGTATTTACCCTATTACCATCAGCACATGATTGTAGCAGCTGAAATTTTTACTAGAGAATCTGGAGGACAAAAAATAATCGAGGCTGCCGCCCTATACAACAACTTTCCAATACACTCTGTACCAATTTCCTTCAACTTGCTAAGCAATACCATCGCAAAATATACCTTGGGAGATAAGTACTCAATATCAACCACACATCACCCACTGATGGGCTCTAAAATCAAGGATAATGTGACAAATAACCTGAACAGTGTTGAAATTATTATCTTATGGCAAGCAGTGATGCCTTGGGGATTCCTATTCTTTGTTGGTAGTTTCATCTACTTTCCCTATGTTGAAATGTCTACAAAATTCACTCAACTTCAGTTTATGTGCGGTGTGAAACCTGCTGTTTATTGGCTGACTACGTTTGCTACAGATTTCGTTATTTATCTGCTAGTAGCACTTGTGATTTGTCTTATTTTTACTTTATGCTGGACACCTTACCGAGGAATTAAGAAATTTGGTAAGTGTATTACAATGAAATTTTCTAAAGCTAATATTGGTTTCCATTTAGGTGCATTCTATTTGGTCCTAGCATTGTACGGCACATGCGCAATACCCTACTGTTACTTATTCGCCAGATTGAAATCATTTGCCTCAGGTTACTCACATTTCATTACAATTGGATCATTCACAGGAATTATTTTCACGATGGGCGTAATCGCTCTACAAGAACTTCCCGAAGCAGGTGAAGCGGGCAACATTCTAAATGTAATATTTTCGATAACTTGTCCCCAATACGGTCTTATTTATTGGGGCCTAAAGTTCTCACTCAAGGTCATTGAAAATTATAATTTCGATCATAGAATCAACGCAGCCTATAGGCATGATGATAGGCGGCGTCATCTTGACATATGCTCTATCGACAACGAACACAGAAGTCCTTGTTGTGATGGAACTGGGCCTGCTTGTGATGCCTGGAGAAGCTACATTAATTCTGAAATTTATTATATGCTTTTATGTGCTGTAATTTATCTTCTCCTAAATATTATATTAGACAGTTATTTGAGAAAGAGATTTATGAATTGGGTGCGTAATATTTCCACCAAGCATTACAATAGGATACCAAATCCTCCAGACACTGCCGAAGAATTAGCTGACCATAGTACTTTACGAGTGAAAAAATTGAAGAAGTTTTATTCGGGCAAACTAGTAGTTAAGGATGTGAGCTTAAATTTAAAGAAAGGACAATGCTTGGGTATTTTAGGCGTCAACGGAGCAGGCAAAACAACCACGTTCAAAATGTTAACCAGAGAAGAAGTTAAAGATAATGGGGATATCAAAATTAATGCCTATAGTGTTGAAAATGATAAGGTAACTTATAAATTATTTTGAACTTTATTAGGGAATCTTCTTTTTTTTTTTGTAGTTTTTGAAGAAGTTAGGATATTGCCCACAAGACGACGCCTTGAACTATTCCTTAACGGGAAGGGATATTTTGAAGACTATAGCTATGTTACGAGGAATACAAGATGCTCTGATAGTTGATCAATTTTTGGATTTATTCGGTAAGTGGACATGTATATTGACCTTTATGATCATAAATTCTTCTCACCCAGAAGTTAACAATAATAGCCACGGCGAGATGTCTACTGGCATCAAGTGTTTGGGATCCCTTCTGAGGGGATTTCAAATAGGTACTACACCTTTTCCATATGTATTTCAGAGATCGTCAGTTTAATTTCAGAAAGCGTCAATTGAAATTTAGATTAGTAAATTCTATTTCGGAAAGCGCCAATTGTATTTCAGATTATTTAATTTTATTTGGGAAAGAGTCGATTGTATTTCAGATTAGTTTATTTTATTTCAGAAAGTGTCAATTGTATTTCGGATTAGTTAATTTTATATCGGAAAGCGTCAAATGTATTTCAGATTAGTTGATTGTAGTTCAGGAAGCGTGAATTATATTTCAGAAATTGTCAGATGACTCAGATGTATAATAGTTCAGAAATCATCAGGTATCTACGCAGATTTTCCCAAATCAAGATAGGTGTACCTATAGGTGACTCAATATAAATTTCATTCAAGACACTACATTGATAATATCTGAAATACATTTGACGAATTCTGAAATACAATTTCCGATCTACAAATAAAACATCTGAAAGCCAAATGACGATTTCTGAAATAGTGACCAAACTGAAATACAAATGACTTTTTCTGAAATACAACTGACCAATCTGAAACACAAATGATGTTTTCTGAACTACAACTGACACAGTTGAAATACAAATAACACTGTCTGAAATTAAACTAACATAACTGGAAAACAATTGATGCATTCTGAACTAGAATTGATGAATCTGAAATATAAGTGATACATTCTGAAATACTTATGGAAAAGGTGTAGATGTCCTACCAATAGACCCTAAAATTTGATAGAAATTCCAAGTGATTAATAGCAAGAGAAACCTTATAATTCTGGAAAAGGGTCTGCAATAAGGAGAAATAATCCTTGGAGTGACGAACAGTCCTCTCAAACTAGAAGAAAACTGTTGCCTTTAGTGACTCAGTTTGGAGGTAGGATAGGTCGGAAGTTCTGAGACGAAAAGGGTTGTTTATGCCCGATATAACTACTCGTCACCCAAAATTTGCTTTGGAACAAGTTTGGAACGGTTTTCATTCACTTCAAAGCAGTGGCTCTAGAAGTTTTTTTTTTTAATATAATCATGTAAAATGGTTGGGGTTAAGGACAAAGTGCGATAAAACTTCATTGTTTACAAATTTGCCGTCTTTTTGACCTTTTATTTAGGTCTTTATCAAGGCTTTTTATATGACGAAAGTTTCCAAGTCAAGAGACTCCAAATACATTTTCATAATACACAACCGGATAAATGTGACAGAAATCTTAAACATCCACATTTAAAATTAAAAAAAAGCCGAAAGAGTGGTACAGGGTGGATGCATGAAGTCGAAGCCACAATTGTTGGTAATAGGAAGCAAGGAATGCGTGGTTGGTTGCGATGGTTTACTTAAGAAATATTCACGTGCCAAATATGATATAAATTGTCAATATATAATGTATTGTCCGTCGTTTTTAATCTGACTTTCCGTATGAGGAGCGAGGGGGTAAAGCATATGGCAAAAACCACGCAAAAACAGGTGTGACGTCAGGAAACCATTGGCGCCAGGGATTTTTTTGGAGAAGGTATCAGATTAAAATCGACGGACTTCAAATGTTTTGTTCGATGAAATGGTGACTGAATGTGAAAGGTACATTTCAAAATTAAAACAGGATGATTATATAATATTCTTTGCGGCAATAGTGATGCTTTGAAGGGGAGAAGTATTGAGATGGAAGATGTGGACAAACTGCTAACTATTTCTAAAGATCACAATTTAATTGTGACAGTATTATCTTTTGCTTATGGTAGAGAAATGTTGAATGACTTTATACACGAAAATAATTCAATGGTTCAAGCCCGAGTACTTAAACGACGATTCAAATAATTCGGTGTTTTTCTCTTTTGATAGCTTTATGTGGGACGAGGAAAGAGGTAGACATGGAGAACTACTCGTCAAAGAAACCCCAATTTTTACCCTAATTAGCAAAAAACTTATCTTTTGAATGATTCCTCTAATGAAACTTATGCCAACGAATTTGAGTACGCTGAAAGCCCTCATTATGAACAAGATGCCAGTTATGAAGAAAGCGAATATGCTGAATATTTCCCTACTAATCCGAATGCTGAAAATTATCAGGATTTTCTGGTACCTTTTACCAATTTCCATCTGCCAGAGAATACCCCTCAAGATCACACTTCGAATATCGAGACTCGAATACAACTTCTGAATCTAGACAACATGAATCCGAATCTCATTTTTCCGGAACAAGCATTTCTTTAAACCCACTTCTTACCGTTAATTCGAAAAATCTTTACTACATTTATGATGCTTCCAATAAATTCAGATTACTTATTGATACAGGTGCAGGCATTTCAATTTTTAAAGAAAATACTGTCCATAAATTCCCCTATCGTTCCGAAGAAAACGTAACCATTCAAGGTTGTTATCACCGATCAAAAGCTCCAGATCCGTGAATCAACACTTGTACCGTTCACCCTCCAAGATCCTCACAAAGTGTATATTTACAACGTGAATATTGATTTCGATGGAATTTTAGGGTTGGATTTGAAAGCTAAAGAACTTGTGACTAATTTCAAAACTATCCCTCTTCATAAAGTGACTGAAGATGACTACCCTAATAATCAGGCCTATGATGTATCATTTTCTGTTATTTTAACAGCAACGTTAAGTTATCTGTCACTGTTTATTCTATGCGTCAAAATGGAGACAGAAGTAGATGTTGAGCCTTAACACGGCCGTTAAAATAACAGGACAGGATACATCATAGGCCCGAATGTAAAACCAAACAATTCTTAACAAAATATCTATAGAAGCTAGAAGTGAAAAAATCTTTAAACTCAAGACAGATGCTTTACTCTTTTCTCAAGAAAAAGAAAAAGTCAAATTACCTAATACTTTAGTAAATGTCAATAAACAAGGTGAATTTTGAACCTCAATTAATTGTAAATATTAACGCTATAGAAAAAACCGTGGAGTTTTCGAACTTGTCTATCGAACCATTTGTCTCAGAAAGTGAAACTCAAGAAACCATTCTAAGTTTTAACAACTCTAACCTCGACTATGACGATACTTATGATAGGCAAATGTCCATACAAAATGAACTTCGTACAGAACATTTAAACGACGAAAAAAAAAAGAACTAATTACCAACTTATGCCTGAACTTTTCCGACATTTTCTACCTGAAGGTGCGACACGCTCACATTTACTAGTGAGATTGAACACCCTATTGACACCAATAATGCAAAGCCTGTGTATACCAAATCTTACAGGTACCGCCAAATCTACAAAGAAGAAGTCAAATCCCAAGTCACCAAAATGCTAGACCAAGGCATAATTCGCCATTCTGTATCTCCATGGTCTTCTCCTGTCTGGGTCGTTCATAAGAAACTTGATGCTTCTGGCAAACCCGAATAGCGCGTCGTAATCGACTACCGTAAAGTCGACGAACTTACTGTAGACGACAAATACCCGCTGCTTAATATTTCCGATCTTCTGGATCAATTGGGGAAATGTCAATATTTTACCACGCTTGACCTAAACCTCAGGTTTTCACCAAATAGAAGGAGACCCCAAGGATGTTTCGAAAATGGCCATTACGAATTCGTACCTACGTATGCCCTTTGGATTGATAAATGCACCGTCCACATTCCAAAGAGTCATGAACAATATTCTCCTCAGCATTCAAAACGAAAGATGCTTAGTCTGCATTGACGATATTATCGTTTACTCTCCTACCATCCACGAACATATTTTAAGGCTAACCGAAGTTTTCAAACGCCTCCGTGAAGCTAACTTAAAAATCCAGCCGGAAAAATGTGAGTTTCTTCGAAAAGAAGTAGCTTGCCTGGAACACCTTATCACTCAAGACAGCGTAAAACGAACCCTGCAAAAATTAGTCATATTCAGAACTTTCTCACACCCAAAAATCCAAAAGACATTGAATCAATCCTAGGATTAGCAGGATATTATCGTCGATTTATCCCCAATTTTGTTAAAACATCAAAGTCCTTGACAAAACTCCTCCAGAAAGATGTTCCATTTCACTTTAGCCCAGAATGCATATCCGCATTCAACGAATTCTAAAATGCACTAGTTTCTGATCCGATTCTTAAATACTCTACCATAGAGAGAGAATTACTGGCCATTGTATGGGCAGTTAAGCATTTCAGACGTTACCTCTTTGGTCGAAAATTTGTCCTTATCACAGACCATCGCCCTTTAACTTGGCTTTCCTCAATTAAAGACCCTGGAAGTTGTTAAGCTCGCTGGCACATGAAACTCGAAGAATACGACTATCGTCGAATCGAGTATAAGCCTGGGAAAATCAATAAGAATGCTGATGCCCTATCTCGAATAAAAGTAAACCACTTTAAAGGTTGTTCAGATTTAAGCTCTAAAATTCATATACTCGCTTGACCTGATATTGACGATATAAGAAATCGCCCCTCTACAGGAAAACAACAACAAGAAATTCCAATCGTCGAAATTAAAAACAATGATAAAACAACCCTAATTGAGGATGAATACAACTCTTTCGTAAATCTCTACAAAACCAGATCAATTATTGACTACTCAAAGATAGAGATTTCCAACCTACAACTTCTGGACAAGTCTCACAAAAATATTGTAACGTTCTTTTGGCAAACCAAACTAACAGACTTACATTTCAAAATTATAGATGATCTATTCGAGGAAAATTTCGATTTTCAACCTAATCAGTTCATTTTATCATTATTTTTATTATACACTTCATAATTCCCATTCCTTGTAAAAATGAGAAAATAGTCCCTACTATTTACTCGCTTTTCAACTGTCAAAACGAATTTGACCCTGAAAAAACCTTTTTCTACTGACGTTTCATAATAGCAACTTTTCGATTGTCATTTTAGTTTTGAAACGGCATTCTTTTAAGCACTCAG